ATCCCAAAAGGCCTCTGATTTGAGTCCCAGCTGCTCCACTCTGGATCCAGCTCTCTGCTGATGCACCTAGGAAGACAGCAGAGGATGGCCCCAGTCCTTAGGCCCCTGTACCCACATGGTGGAGACCTAGAAGAAGCTCCTGGCTCCTGGCTTCAGATAGGCACAGCTCCAGCCATTGTGGCCATTTGAGGAGTGAACCAGTGGATGGAAGACTTCTCTGTCTCTCCTCCTCTCTCTCTACCTCTCTCTGTAACTCTTTCAAATAAATTTTAAAAATCTTAAAGAAATGTGTTAAAGATGATTAAACCCTTTTATGTCCCTGCAAATTAATCTAAGACTTCTTCAAACTCAGAGGGAAACTTAGAAAGAGTTCTGTTTGTTGGGTACAGGATTTTGATTTCTGTCTCCTTGTGTTTATATCAAAAGGTGATTATGTAGCACAAAGTACTAGCTGCAGGGGACCAACATTACGGTACTCTTGGTGAGAACTGCCTGGTGTTTGTGGTGGCCTTCCCACAGTGCTGTTAAGCCAGTATTTCTGGCTGGTTTTCACTAATGCAGTGATAGGTAGTAAGCAGGGGTCTTGCAAAATGATATTAGATAACAGTATTTCAAGGTCAAAGTCTTCTAAAGCTTTTACCTTCCGAAAGGGTGAAAACTATGAACTTATTTTTTCTCCCATAGACTATGTAATTTTCTTAAGCTTTTTGTCAGCTATCATGTTTATAAGCTTGTGTTTTTCATGCTCTGATTATAAGCTATCTCAAAGTGGGACTTTATTTAATAATTACCTCTTAAAGTACAGAGGGCACGGAACACATAGGCACCTTGAATACAGGGCAGTGACTCACTCAAACTGAAATGCTGGTATGAGAGTACATAATCCTTTGATATGTAGGATTTCATTGCTACTTTGATAAGAGCTAAAGGCAGGCCAGCAGCAGAAGATATAGTTCAGACAGATATTATTTACTTATTTTTTTTTTTAAATTTGCTTATTTGTTTACTGATTATCTTGAAAGGCAGAGAGAAAAGATCTTCCTTCTCCCAGTTCACTCCCCAAATGCCTGCAACATCCAGGGCCGGTCCAGACCGAAGCCAGGAGCCTGTAACTCACTCTGGGTCTCCCACAGGGGTGGCAGTGACCCAGCTGCGTCAGCTGTCACTTGCTGCCTCCCAGAGTGTGCTTTAGTAGGACGCTGGGATCAAGAGTGGAGGTCAGATGTGGGCCTATGTACTCTGATACGGGATGCAGTTATCACATGTGGCCTCTTGAGTGCTGTGCCACAGGCCTCTCCCTGGGCAGATATAATTTAATTGGACTTTGTTAGTTCTCTCTTTCCTGAATCCAGGCAATGGTTGCTTTGTTTTTTGTATTAGTAGGGAAGCAGAGTCTGCTTTCTCATACATTCTGGCTGAAGAGACTGAAGCTTCTGGTATTTAAGTTATTTTCTGTCTCTGTCTCTCTTTAATATAGGGAAAAGCCAACTGTTTTAGTCCCTGCTGTGTCTTTTGCTTTATCCAGTTCATACACAGTTGTTTGAAGGGGAAAGGTTTTGGTTTTGGCTGTATTTCTTAGTATATATTATACTTTCCTAAACTTAAAAGAGACTTAAAAATGTGTTTGTCCAGACAAATCAGGTTTTGTCTTGGAGCTTTGCTTTGGAAGATGAGTTAAGGTCTGAGAAACAGTGTGTCGCTCCCCCTCTTCGTGGAGGAACGACACAGGACCCTGCGCTGTTCTTTCGTCTGCTCGGCCCTCCCCGGGTTTGCTGCTGGTTCTTCCCGGGTTGGCTACTGTCCCTTCCACCTCCGTGGAAGGGCAGTTCCCCCTGGCCACATTCCCCACTTCCGCAGGGGAGCAGCACACCGCCGGCCGGCTCTCTCGGGGGCTGCACAGGTGTTCCCTTAGATGTTCCCCTTAGATGTTCCTGGTGCATGCCGTCTCTCTCCTCCTTTATAGTCCTCCTCCGCCAATCCTAACTCGGCTGCCCACACGCCGAGTACGCTGCTCTCCTCCAATCAGGAGCAAGTCCTACAGTTTATTGGCTGAACTGGAGGCAGCTGTGTAGAAGCTGTTTTCTTCTCTCCCAGCGCCATATTGTGGGAGAGCAGATGCATAGAATAAGTCTTAATTCCAGTAACAGTATAGTCCGAGTTGCTCCCCACAGATCCCCCTTTTTTTTTTATTTTTTGGCGTTGATACGCGCCTGTCTTCGGTGTCCCGCGGCACACACTCTGCTCTACTTGCTAGAGTTGCCACAGGTTCTTACAAGTCCTATCAATCAGGCAAACCGAATCCGGGTCCTCTCTTCGCCATGTTGTGAGGAGGTTTTTAGGCGCTGATGCGTGCCTGTCTTCGGTGACCTGCGGCTCATACTCTGGTCGAGCCGCCTGCTGGTGCTTACCGCCTTACTAATCAGGCAGACCGAATCTAAGCCTTCTCATTGCTGTGTTGTGGGGAGGCCTTATTGATGTTAATTCGTGCCTATCTTCGGTGACCTGCGGCTCATACTCTGGTCGAGCCGCCTGTTGGTGCTTACCGCCCTAATCAGGCAGACCGAATCCAAGCCCTCTCATTGCGGTATTGTGGGGAGACTATTGATGTTAATAACGTGCCTGTCTTCGGTGACCTGCGGCGCATAAGCTGCTAGCCGCCCGCAGGTGCTCATCGCCTCACTAATCAGGCAGACTGAATCCAAGCCTTCTCCTTGCGGTATTGTGGGGAGGCCTTTCTCTATTTCTCTATTTCTCTATCTCCGGGCATTCCTATTTCTCCCATTTTACTTCTATCTTCCAGCATTCCTATTTCTCTCATTTTACTTCTAAACTTCTGTTTCTCTTATCCCTGCGGCTTCCCGGCGCCCACCCCGAGGCTGCTTCTCAGCGGCTTTCCGGTTCTGAGCTGCTTCAGCCCGCTTCTCTTATCTGCGCGGCTTCGCGGCTTCCCGGCTTCGCGCGCACACTCCGCGGTCTCCGCGCTAGCCCCGCATTCCCTATCTACTTGTGCCCCGCACGCTTTCTCTGCGCGCGGCAGCCTCCGCGAGTCACACAGCGTAGCTTACGTCTCCGCCATTAGCATTCAATCTAAGTTCCCCGGGCTAACCTGGCGAATTCAACCCAGCTCACGTCTCCGCCCCACGATTTGGCTTCCCGTCCTTTGCTCCCCGGGCTAATCAGACGGATCCCAATCTGGCTTACGTTTCCGCTTCTGGTTTCAACTTTTCGCCCCTTATTCCCGGGCTAACTTGAGAACCCCAAAGTGGCTTTCGTCTCCGCCTCGGCCTGCCCCCCGCGGCTTCAGTTTCCCTAACATTTTTCTCTACCCGGTATGTTTCCCCAAGCTTTCTTCCAACAATACTCCTCCCTCATTTCTCCTGGCCTCTCCCCACAGTCCGCATCCAAGTCTGTTTGTTCTAGCTTTCACTTTCGCTTTCGACCTTAGAGATTTCTCCCAGCTTCCCCCCGTAGTCCGTATCCGAATCTATGCCTAGGCTTTCAACAGCTTCCTCCGGCACCTCTTTCGTCCGGCTTTTCCCTAGGCTGTTTGCTAGTCTCTCTCTCCGATATTTTCCACTTCTTCCCGTTTCTTCCCTCCTAGGTTTCCTATCCGTCCTAGGTTTCCTATCCGAGTCACGGCACCATTATGTCGCTCCCCCTCTTCATGGAGGAACAACACTAAACCCTGCCTAGGCTTCATATCCGAGTCACGGCACCATTATGTCGCTCCCCCTCTTCGTGGAGGAACGACACAGGACCCTGCGCTGTTCTTTCGTCTGCTCGGCCCTCCCCGGGTTTGCTGCTGGTTCTTCCCGGGTTGGCTACTGTCCCTTCCACCTCCGTGGAAGGGCAGTTCCCCCTGGCCACATTCCCCACTTCCGCAGGGGAGCGGCACACCGCCGGCCGGCTCTCTTGGGGGCTGCACAGGTGTTCCCTTAGATGTTCCCCTTAGATGTTCCTGGTGCATGCCGTCTCTCTCCTCCTTTATAGTCCTCCTCCGCCAATCCTAACTCGGCTGCCCACACGCCGAGTACGCTGCTCTCCTCCAATCAGGAGCAAGTCCTACAGTTTATTGGCTGAACTGGAGGCAGCTGTGTAGAAGCTGTTTTCTTCTCTCCCAGCGCCATATTGCGAGAGAGCAGATGCATAGAATAAGTCTTAATTCCAGTAACAGTATAGTCCGAGTTGCTCCCCACACAGTGTAGGTTTTTTTGGGGGGGAGCTGGGAGGGGTTTTGTGTGTGTTTGTGTGTGTATGTGTGTGTGTGTGTGTGTGTGTCCTTCCTTTTAAACCAACCCTAGATTCTGGACTTTGTAGCCTTATCACTTGTAGAAGCTGGGACAATGTTTAAGGTTCAGTACAGTGAAGATGAACCTTCTCCAAGGCCTGTGTCTTGTTCAAATGACCCCATAGTGAGTGAGGTGTAGAATATTTTGTGTCCTGTTCCTCAGGATCCAATTTTATAGCCTTCTGTAGCCCATCAAGAACATAAGAAGTCATGCTTCCTTTCAGTATATCTTATTTTCTATTTTCAGGAACTTCCTTTTGTGTCTGTTTGCTCTGCTAGGTTATAACTCATCTTGGATGGGCCCTGTGTAGCCTTCCTGCTGTGCATAGAGTAGATGAGAAGCATACTTCATGCCTGGCACAGCAGAGGGCAGCAATGGCAAGTTGTGTCTCTTCCCCTCAGCTTGCTTTATTCTACATTTGTCCTTAGCTGCCAGCACCTAGTCCTTAGCTGCTTCCATGCCATGCAAGGCTCTGTTAACTTTTTATTTAATTTTACATTATGCATTTTGGGCAGTGTGTCTCTTTTTTATTTGTAGTTTTAGGAAAATGATGAGTGAAACTGGAGTACTTAACTTACAGAAAGTCATGCCTAGCTAGAAATAATTCATTAGGTGAAGTAAATAATTTTGCATGACATTTAATCCAGGGTAAATTCTAGAGGTATAGTTTAAGATGAAAATAAGCTTTTTTTTTTTCCTTTTAATTTGAAGCTTTGGGATGTGAAATCAGCAAATGAGGTGAAAAGCATCAATGTGAAGAAATTCTTCCTAACTTCAGAGGACCCGCAAGAGGATATGGAAGTAATAGTGAAATGTTGTTCGTGGTCTGCTGATGGTGCTAGGATAATGGTGGCAGCAAAAAATAAGATCCTTGTAAGTATTAGTATTTCAAAAAGTCAGATTTAGGCTGAATTAAAGAAAATTAAAACTTCTATTACTTTTTGGATTTTTATACTGTTTAATGTTCTAAATGAAGTTGAGCTGTGTGATTTTGGGCAGGCTCCCTAACCTCCTAGTTGTTGGGACTTGTGCTCTGGAGGCTGTGGATGGCCTTGTAAGGAAAGGTCTCCTTAGTCATGCAGGTCTGGGAAGTGTAGGTATTGCTTTCTTCTGTTAGATGTCATAGTGTGAGCTAACACATTTATGATATGGCAAGTCCTACAATGCAGAAGTAATTTAGGCTGTGCCATGTTCCTTGAATTTACTTAAAATATGGAATACATTCAGTATCACTTCTTTTTCTCTTTGTTTCTCTCTTTTGTGATTTCAAATATATTTAGGAGGTGATTTCCAAATGCTTTCTTTTCCCTAAAATTCTGTGATTTGGTGGCTCACATCAATAATTGAACCGGCGTTGTGGTGTAGTAGGTTAAGCCTCTGCCTGCAGCACTAGCATCCCTATGGGTACCATTTCAAGTCCTGGCTGCTCCATTTCCAATCCAGCTCCCTCCTGGTGGCCTGGGAAAGCAGTTGAAGATGGCCCAAGTGCTTGGGCCCCTGCACCCATGTGGGAGACTCCGGAAGAAGCTCTTGGCTCCTGGCTTCGGATCAGCCCAGCTCTGGTAGCTGTGGTCATTTGGGGAGTGAACCAGCAGATGGAAGACCCCCCCCCCTTTTTGTTTCTCTCTTTCTCTCTCTCTCTCTCTCTGTAACTCTGAATAAATCTTTTTTTAAAAAGTTAATTGAATAAGATGAGCTTTTTATAAAGTAAATGAGGAAGATGTGCATAAAAAAGGTAAAGGGAAAAAAAATAGCTTCCTTTTTCCTCCCAAATCTAACAGTAGCTTGTATTTAAGTTGTTGAGAATGCTCTCACATAATACTTTCTTTTGATATAAATATCAGAGAGATACAATGGATTCCAAGAGCACTGTGTTACTAGTGAGGCAGAGCAGCCAAAGTTTACTGTGAATAGGAGGGGAGTCAGGATTGATTTATGGCTCAATAAATTTTTTAATTTTAGATTTATTTTTTTATTTGAAAGGCACAGATAAAGAGATGAGAGAGAGAGAAACAGAGATTTTCCATCTGCTGGTTCACTCCTCAAATGGCCTCAAGGGCTGGGACTGGGTTAGGCTGAATCCATGAGCCAGGAGCTTCATCTGGATCTCCCATGTGTTTCCAGAGGCCCAAAGACTTGGGCCATTTCTTGCTACTTTCCCAGGTGAATAGACAGGGAGCTGGATTGGAAGTGGAGAGTGGAACAGCCGGGTCTTGAACTGGCACCCACATGAGATGCTGGCATTGCTGGTGGTGGCTTAATCTTCTATGCCACAGCTCCAGCCCTGGCTCAGTGATTTTTCTAGTCATATTTTTTAACACCTAAATAGTTTATCAGTATTCTAAATAGCATACTTGAAATATACAATACAGTTATATAAAAATTCACCAAGGGATCACATGTATGGTTTTTTTTTTTTTTTTTTTTTTTTTTTGACAGGCAGAATGGACAGTGAGAGAGAGAGACAGAGAGAAAGGTCTTCCTTTGCCATTGGTTCACCCTCCAATGGCCGCTGTGGCTGGCGCACCGCGCTGATCCAAAGCCAGGAGCCAGGTGCTTCTGGTCTCCCATGGGGTGCAGGGCCCAAGCACTTGGGCCATCCTCCACTGCACTCTCGGTCCACAGCAGAGTGCTGGCCTGGAAGAGGGGCAACCGGGACAGAATCTGGTGCCCTGACCGGGACTAGAACCTGGTGTGCCGGCACCGCAGGCAGAGGATTAGCCTTTTGAGCTGCGGCACGGGCCACATGTATGGTTCTTATTGATCTGGTTGCTGTGGCCTTAGGAACTTGGTTGCTTATGGGTTTATACCCCTTTATCAGAAAACTTTGGAGAGAAAAACAATCTTCTTTTATCTTAAGTTTGCTAAAATTTGTGAGAACAGAAAAGGAACCACTGCATTTGTGAGATTTGAAGATTAAAACAATTTTTAGTGTTATAAATTACATTAATGTAAAAGTTGTCTCTTTGTTTTTCAGTATGTAATTCAGTGACATTAATTACATTTACAATGTTGTACAACCATTACCCCTGTATATTCCTCAGACTTTAAAAAAAAGTTTTGAGGCCAGTGTTGTGGTGTTGCAGGTTAAGCCTCTGCCTGTGATGCCAGCATCCTACATGGGCACCATTTTGAGTCCCAGCTGCTCTGCTTCGGACCCAGCTCCCTGCCAATGTGCCTGGGAAAGCAGTGGAAGATGGCCCAAATGCTTGGGCCCCTGCACCCATATAGGCGACCCAGAAGAAGCTCCTGGCTCCTGACTTTGGCCTGGACTGTCCTGACCATTGTGATTTGGGAAGTGAGCTAATGAATGGAAGATCTCTCTGTAACTCTGCCTTTCAAATAAATAAGGCAGAAAGAGAGCGAGAGCAAGTGAGCTCCCATCTGCTGGTTCATTCCCCAAATGCCAGGAGCCAGAAAATCAATGCAGATATTTCCTGTGGGTGTCAGGAACATCAATGCAGATATTTCCTGGGGGTGTCAGGAACTCAGTTAACGTAAGCAACCACCACTGCTTCCCAGGATTTGCTTGGACAGGAAGCTGGAGTTAGGAACTGGAGGTGGGTGTCAAACCTAAGCACTCTGATATGGGCATGGGCATCTTCAGTGTTTGCCTAAATGCCTGTGTCTCCAAAGCTTTTTCATCACCTCATACTTCTATTCCCCTATTTCCCCAGCCCCTGATGTGTGAAGTGGTATTTCATTGTGGTTGATTTGCATTTTCCTAATTATCAGTGGTGTTAAGCAAAATATTTAAAAGATTTTAAAAGATCTGCTTTAGTGAGAGAGGAAAATAATGTATGTTGTATGAAATGCCTTCTAGTATTTTTTTTTTTAAAGATTGATTGATTTGAAAGCCAGAGTAACAGAGAGGCAGAGAGAGAGAGAGGTCTTCCATCTGCTGGTTCACTCCCCAAATGGCTGCAATAGCTGGAGCAGGGCCGATCTGAAGCCAGGAGCCAGAAGCTTCCTCCGGATCTCCCATGTGGGTGCAGGGGCCCAAGGGCTTGGGCCATCTTCTGCTTTCCCAGGCCATAGCAGAGAGCTGGATTGGAAGTAGAGCAGCTGGGACTCGAAATGGCACCCATATAGGATGTTGGCACTGCAGGGGGCAGCTTTATTTACTACACCACAGTGCCAGCCCCATGCCTTCTGGTTTTAAAAGTTTGTACCCAGCTTCACATATTACCATGCTAAGTAAAGCTGTCCCAAGATGACCCTTAACCACATGTAGATCCCAAGTTCGTATGTCTTGATCTCTCTTTCCTCCTTACTTCTTTGTAACTCTTTTATGTTTTGGTCTACTCCTGTTGTCAGGTCTTTTGTCTTTTGCTGCCTTGTAATTGGGACAATTGACTGTTCCACATTTGACAAATTTCTTCTACCACTTTCAGTCAGTAATTTTTAAGAACAACCTGTCCTGGGAAGCATTTTAAATTTGATTTCCTGTCCTTTGATTTTGGCCTTCAGTGCTATGCTGCTTACCATCTGTGCCTGCTTTCAGGGGTATACAGTTAATTTTTTAAAGGTTTATTTATTTATTTATTTATTTGGAAGGCAGAGATCCAGAGAAAGAGAGAAATCTTCCATCTGCTGGTTTATTCCCCAAATGGCTGTAACAGCCAGGACTGGGCCAGGTTGAAGCCAGGAGCCAGAGCTTCATCTGGGTCTCCCATGTGAGTGCAGGCATCCAAGAACTTGAATCATCCTCTGTTGCTCTCCCAGGTGCATCAGCAGGGAGCTGGAATTGGAATTGGAGCAGTGGGGACTTGAATCAGTACCCATATGGGATGCCAGCACTGCAGGCGGAGGCTTAACCTGCTACACCACAGTACAGGCTCTTTGTTTTTTTTTTTTCTCTAAGATCTATTTTTTTTTTTTTATTTGAAAGAGTTAAAGAGGGAGGGAGAGACAGAGAGAGAGAGAGAGAGAGAGAGAGAGCAAGATATCTTCCATCTACTGGTTCACTCCCCAGATGGCCACAAAGGCCAGAGCTAGGCTGATCCAAAGCCAGGAGTCAGGAGCTTCTTCAGAGTCTCCCTCATGGGTGCAGGGGCCCAAGGACTTGAGCCATCTTCTGCTGCTTTCCCAGGTATATTAGTGGGGAGTTGGATTGGAAGTGGAGCAGCTGAAAGTGGAGCAGCTGGGACTCAAACCAGGGCCTGTATGGAATGCCTGCTACACCACAGTGCCAGCCCCTCAGGGGTATACATTTGTTTGAACATATTTTTGGCTCTGATTGGAAGCCGTTCTTTAAAAATTGCTGGAATTGCTTTGGTCTTAAATCACTATACTGTATCAATGTGTGTGTTCATAAATACAAACCATGTTATCATTTGACAAAAACTTTAGAAGACTGTATTCAGCATTTAAAAGTTATTTAAAAATTGAAGACACTTAAGCTTAAATTACTCAAAAATAGGTTTTTTTTTTGTTTGGAAATAAGAAATAATTTATTGTAATGAGTAATTTGATAGCTCTGGAGAGAAATAGAAATGATTGAGCTAATATCATTTTAGGAAGTCTGTTCTGTATTATTTTGATCATCATTGATGAGTATGCATTTTCTCTTGAATAAACAAGCATTAGGGAGAACTGTTTGGTATGTTAATTTGGCTAGTTCCTCATTTAGTCACAAAGGTGGTGTTATTTCTGTCTAGGCAACCTTGATAGATAATCTGTGATGAATTTTCCTTTATAGAAAATATATTTCAAGTTAAGAAATATTTTAAAAGTATATGTATGTTAATATAAATCTTGTTTATGACTTTTATTAATTATGCCAATTACTAGCAATTGTAATATTTTTTCAGGACTTATATTTGAAAAGGTAAGAAGATTCTTTGAAAAATAAATTTAGATTCTTTTTTACAAACAGAGTTAGACAGTGAGAGAGAGAGAGAGAGACAGAGAGAAAGGTATTCCTTTTTCCGTTGGTTCACCCCCCCCCCCCCAATTGGCCGCTACGACTGGCACGCTGTGCCGATCTGAAGCCAGGAGCCAGGTGCTTCCTCCTGGTCTCCCATGTGGGTGCAGGGCCCAAGGACTTGGGCCATCCTCCACTGTGCTCCCAGGCCACAGCAGAGAGCTGGACTGGAAGAGGAGCAACCAGGACAGAATCTGGCACCCCAACCAGGACTAGAACCTGGGGTGCCTGCGCCGCAGACGGAGGATTAGCCTAGTGAGCTGTGGCGCCGGCCAAATTTAGATTCTATTTGGGTATAACTTGCCTTTTTAAATATTTTACTTTCATAGATATCTCTATTTTTGTTGATAGGTTTTTGACTTTCATACCAGTGACCTATTGGCCGAAATCCAAACAGGCCGTAACAGCACTATCCAGTATTGTGACTTTTCCCCTCATAATCATTTGGCAGTGGTGGCTTTGTCTCAATACTGTGTGGAGGTGAGTAGTTTATTCTTTGAAGTCTGAGTTTCTTGAAATCTAAGGATAATCGAGAATTGCCTGTGTAAATCATTCACACTGAGTTTGCTTGCTTCAGAAACTGTATTTTCATAGCTTTATGATCTACATAGCTTTATGATATTAACCTGTACATCCAGCTTTAATACTTTAATAATGATTGAAGGCTTGATTGGTGTGGGTCTTTGTCTGTAAAATAGAGAAATTTAATTGGTTTACAGGCTTCTCTTCAAGGGTATCTTAACTGTAAACACCTTTTCAGTATCCACGGCTTAATTTCAGTAGTTTTTAGTGAGTTTGTCAACTTTGCCTTCCATGAAGGCATTGGGCAAGAGCTGATATATTATAGCCCCTCACAGTGCAGGTTCTGTGAAGATGAGAGTGAGTGGATGAGCTCCTCAGGCACCTCCTAATTCTGAAAAGAGCAGTGCATCTAACACTGAGGAACTTCCTGCTGAGAATTCTCCCGCTGTAAGCAGGCTGTTCCAATTCGTGGGAAGAAGTAGGTGCTGCGGGCGGGGTTCTGTTGGTCAGTGGACCTGAACTGAACGTTTCAGCTCCACTAGAAGGTCTTGACTCTGGACCTCCTCAAGGTAGGTGTGGTTGGAGTTTTCACTTCTCCACGTTTCTTCAGGATTTTTAGAAGGAGTGGAAGAGTAAGACACTATAAATATCTTTCATGCTTCACTGTCATTTATGAAAATACTTTGAAAGCTGCAGGAAATAATTTCTTCCTTCTTGAAATGTAGGGGTTGATTCTGATGGCCCCAAATGGCAAAGCAATGATGGGAGAGAAATAGGGAGCCACGGGGGGAATAAAGGAAAGGATCTTCAAAGGTGGTGTTTCAGTTGAGGAACTACTTCATTTCTGTATGTCCCAGCTTGGTCTCTAGAGATAAGGCAGAGAAGATATCATATAATTAGTCTGTAACCATAGAACTCACTGAATGAAAACCACTGTGCGTGTGGTGAAGTACTGGTTTGTCCATGCTGGTTCTGAAATCGTAAAGGTCTATAATCCGAAATGTAGTGAAAGGAGCTCAGGCGCATATGGTACTTCATAAGACTGGAATGTATTTGAATAATTTACAGCAGAACCTAGGACAAAACACAGCCAGCCTAGTGGCAGACATCAACAGTTTGTAATAAGCATGAATTACAAGGGAAATGTGTACATGTTACAATTAGTGCATTCATTTATTGTAGGATTCTGCAGTCATTTAAAATGAAGGTTAGATGACTGTATTAGTGGAAAATTGTCTATGAAAACTGCTTATATTCATCAGAATTTTTTAGGTTATTCAAAAAAATAGACAAAACATTTGCGTGATTCCTAAGTTAAAGCTTTATAATAAATTATATTCAGAGAAGCCTTGCTGTGATCCCTCCCTGTTCCTTCTTCTCTACTTCCTTACCCCATAGGTAATCATATTTTTATTTTGTTTTAACCTTCCAGTGTTTTTTTTTTTTTTTTTTTTGCATATACAAGGCACTTCAAAAAGTTTATGGAAATAGGAATTTTTTTTTTTTTTTTTATCTTTTATTTAATGAATATAAATTTCCAAAGTACGTCTCATGGGTTACAATGGCTTTCCCCCCCATACCGTCCCTCCCACCCACCACCCTCCCCTTTCCCACTCCCTCTCCCCTTCCATTCACATCAAGATTCATTTTCGATTATCTTAGTATACAGAAGATCAGCTTATTATACCTTAAGTAAGGATTTCAACAGTTTGTTCCCACACAGAAACATAAAGTGAAAAATAATAGATGATTTTTTTTTAAATGATGATGAAATCAGATCAGACCTATTGTCATGTTTAATCCCAGTGAGAGTCAAGTTGGGAATTGATAGTTTCTTTTTTTTTTTTTTTTTTTTTTAACAGAAGATCAGTTTAGTGTACATTAAGTAAAGATTTCAACAGTTTGCACCCCCATAGAAACACAAAGTGAAATATACTGTTTGAGTACTCGTTATAGCATTAAGCCTCAGTGTACAGCACATTAAGGACAGAGATCCTACATGAGGAGTAAGTGCACAGTGACTCCTGTTGTTGACTTTACAAATTGACACTCCTGTTTATGGCATCAGTAATCTCCCTATGCACCAGTCATGAGTTTCCAAGGCTATGGAAGCCCCTTGAGTTCTCCGACTCTTATCTTGTTTAGACAAGGTCATAGTCAAAGTGGAGGTTCTCTCCTCCCTTCAGAGAAAGGCACCTCCCTCTTTGAAGACCTGTTCTGGAAATAGGAATTAAAAGATAAGTTTATTTTGGTATCTCAAGATTTTGCATATGGAGAATCTTCAAAAAGTTATGGAAAATGTGCATTCTGAAAAAACTGTATGTTTATGAATTTTTTTGTGTTAGAATAAGCTCACCTTTTAATTCCATTTTCTACAGTTTGTTTTGGCATACCTTCATGGGGCTGGCACTGTGGCATAGCAGGTAAAGACACCACCTGCAGTGCCTGCATCCCATATGGGTGCCGGTTCAAGTCCTGGCTGCTCCACTTCTGATCTAGCTCTCTCTATGGACTGAAAAAGCAGTAGAAGATGGCCTGGGTCCTTGCGCCCCTGTACCCACATAGGAGACCTGGAGGAAGCTCCTGGCTCCTGGCTTTGAATAGGCCCAGCTCTGGCCATTGTGGTCATTTGGGAAGTGAATGAGCGGATGGAAGACCCCCCCCCCCGCCTCTCTCTCTGCTGTTGCCTCTGTGACTCTGCCTTTCAAATAAATAAATAAATCTTTAAAAAAAACCTTCATACAAGCTGGTATCTGTAACATATATATTTATCTCTATATCTGTAACCATTTATTTCTGTTACATAAAAGGTAATGTAGTATGTATGCTCTTCTGTACTACTTCTTCTTCTTCTCTTCTTCTTTTTTTTTTTTTTTTTTTTGACAGGCAGAGTGGACAGTGAGAGAGAGAGAGACAGAGAGAAAGGTCTTCCTTTACCGTTGGTTCACCCTCCAATGGTCACTGTGGCTGGCGCGCGCGCTGATCCGAAGCCAGGAGCCAGGTGCTTCTCCTGGTCTCCCATGTGGGTGCAGGGCCCAAGGACTTGGGCCATCCTCTGCTACACTCCCTGGCCACAGCAGAGAGCTGGCCTGGAAGAGGGGCAACTGGGACAGAATCTGGCGCCCTGACTGGGACTAGAACCCAGTGTGCCAGTGCCACAGGCAGAGGATTAGCCTATTGAGCCGTGGTGCTGGCCTCTTTTTTTTTTTTTTTTTTTAATATTTTATTTATTTGATAGGTAGAGTTACAGACAGAGAGAAAGAGAAAGAGGATCTTCCATCTGTTGGTTCACTTCCCAAATGGCTCCAATGGCCAGAGCTGAGCTGATCTGAAGCCAGGAATCAGGAGCTTCTTCCAGGGCCTCCCAAGTGGGTACAGGGGCCCAAGTGCTTGAGCCATCTTCCAGTGCTTTCCCAGGCCATAAGCAGAGAGCTGAATTGAAAGAGGGGCAGCTAGGACATGAACCAGTGCTCATATGGGATACCACTGCTGCAGGCAGAGGCTTAGCCTACTATGCCCATGTACTTTGGTTTTATTCTGTTAACAATATAGCTGAGAGGAAAAAAAAAACCATGCAGATTAGAGAGTGGCATGCTGCATAGGGCTTGGGAGAAACAGCGAAGAGACGCAGGAGGTATACACTCATCAGAGATGAGAAGAGAAAACTGCCTGGGAAGCCCCATGGGAGGAGGGGAACCAGCTTGAACTGGTGTGGTGAGTGTCGATGCACACACAGAGAGCTCAGAAAACTAAAGCTGTGGACAGCCAGAGCCAGTGGTATTTTTGAGACAGGGCCAGGGTAGGGGCAGGACAGATGGCAGTAATCTGTCTGTGTAGCAGTCCACAACCTGGGGAGCCGGAGGTTGCTGGCGGTCACCTGAGGTCCAAGTGAAAGTGGAGAGAGACGGCTGATTAAAACTAATCTCTCCAAAACAAAACCAGCTACCCGGCCGAGAGAGATTGGATGCCATTTTAATTCAGGATTAGAACCAGGGAAGCCTGCAGGTGCACATATAACAGCCCACTGAGAGGGGGCACCTGAATGCAGCACTGGCAGCAGCAGCAGGCAGACATTAAACCAGTGACTGTAGTGTGTGATTGAGATCTAGGAACCGAGGGAATGCTCTGCAGCACCCAGTGTCTCAGAGATTGACTGGGAAGTGACTGGGAAAATACCAACAAAAGGGGGGCACGCCTGCAAGGAGCATCTGGGGGAACCTTAGATGCTGAGACCTTGGGGCCTAGGTGGCTATGAAAAGCTGTAGGGCATAGCTAGGAATCGTTACCCTGGAAACTCACCCCACCCTAGAGCACTGACCAGAGCCCACAGGCCACACCCACTACACAGCTCCTGGTATTCATTGAAAGGGCAGACATTCCAGGAAGCCGCAGGAAAAAAAGTCAATAGAAGAAAAAATTAAAAACCAACTCCAAAAATGAAAAATAAGAGCTGAAATGCAAATAACAAGAATAAGGAAGTTACCATAAACCCCCCAGAGGATACACAACAATATTAGAATGCAAAGATGAAGAGCTCGAGGAAATGCTAGAAATGGAATTTAAACAATTAATCATGGGATTATTAAAATCTGAAACAAATCCATTAACTAAAGAAAACTATACAAGACATGAACAAAAACTTTTCCAGGAAATAGAGAATAGAGAGAAATCAAAATGAAATGTTAGAAATGAAGAATTCAGTCGATCAAATAAAAAATGTGATGGAAATTCTTAACAGCAGGCTTGATGAGGCAGAAGAAAGAATATCCGAACTAGGAGACAAATCTTTGGAAATCTTACAGTTAGACCAATTAAAATAAAGTATAAACAGCACACACACAAGAAAATAGTGTTGGAGACCTTTGGGGCACTATCATATGACCAAACATACAGATCTTAGGAATTCCCAAAGGACTGGAAAGAGAGAGGGAGTAGAAAGCCTATTTAGTGAAATAACT